CAATAATAATTGCAGTAGACTAATTGAAGGGATTCCTGGAAGTCCATGCCTCAAGGAGATACAAAAAATTGTTCTGACAAGTACAGTCCACACTTTACAAAGGGCTTTATCTATGTAATTTTTTTTTTTGTCAATGGAAAGTGTCATGATGCCATTTATAACCTTAGGTCCCTGGGCGGGACCGGGAAAGAAATGTGTAAACGCCAGAAATCAAAAGAAATAATAATAATAATAATAATAATAATAATAAAACAACAACAAATGCAGATCAAAAATTTTTAAATTTTCATTTTCTCCCCCAGCTATGGGTAAATAGGACAGACCGGGTTCTATAAAAAAATTAAAGTCTTTTTTTGGGCCTCATAAGAAAAGGAATGGAAAATTTTACTCACAGTGTCCAAGGTAGCATCAACATACAAGTTGACCAGAATATTGCCCTACTAGGAGTACCCCAAATACTAAGAAAAGTGATATCAATTAAATGACAATTCTCCTATAGGGCCTAAGGACCATAGCTTAGACACAGCTCTGCAGGATACAAAGTAGAAAACATAACATACACAAATAATAATAGCACACCACATGCTAAAAAATAGTCTGAACGTCACCCTGAACTAGTTATAGAAGGTCATGAAGTCACTAGGACTCCACCATTTATACAGACAAATACAAAAGCCAATAAACCAGACATAGTGATTAATGATGACAAAAATTGCTTTCTCATAAATATGGTAGTACCATCAGATAAAAATATATCTCTTAAAAAATATGACAAATAACTATAAGAATTGTAAAATGGAAACTTAAAAATATATGGCACATTAAAACTAATGTCGTGTTTATAATAAATGGATGCTGTATACAACCAAGAAATCTACAAGCAAGAAGATATAAGTTCTATTTTCTTTTTCTTTTTTTTTTGTAAATAATTAAGAAAATGGTCCTTGGATTATTTTCTATTTTTAATCTGTTTGATATTGGTTTATCTTGCTGTACAAGCTATGTTTTGGCATTTAAATGTTTGAATATTTTAAAAAATATATCTTGTTTAAAATTCCCTCTGAGCTATAGAATGTTTCTAAGCATTGTAAATGGATATCTGTTGAAACAGCCTTTATTCTGGAAATCTCAAAAGTTGTGCAGATAAGTAACACCAGGCAGCAACCATTTTGAAATGGCTCCTTTCTTTCTAATATCTATCTTTTCTGTTGTCTCTTTAGTGTTCTTCGACGTTATTAGCTTCCTTCTTATTTCAAATTGTTTTCTTCTAAGTAAAATTTCCCTTTTGTTTTTTCTTGGTTTCTCTTTCCATTTTTATTCTTTCTCTCCACATCTCTCTTTTACTTGCCATCATTTTTTTTAATAAAATGTTAACCCAATAAAAAGGCCCAAAAGCCACTTCAGGTAGAGGCTTACTGATTAGAGTATGGAAAGTAGGAGGAGAAAGTAAGTGCAAACTATGACTATATGTAGGATAGATAACATTTGATACTGAATGTGAAACAAATTAATCATTCTTGAGAAGAAGCTATCTGAGTGGAACTTCTTCCTTACTAATGGAATACAAAAGGAATGGTGAGGAAACAAACCCTGTGAATATGGCAGGACAGGTTTTAGATGTAAAGGTCTGAACTGGTGGAAGGAGAGAATGTAGCTGTCAGAGCATTTTCCGTAGAAGCAGCAACAGAATAGTGAGAGGTTGATGTAATGGAATAACCTGTCACCCCCCATGAGTGACTATACTATAGGTAGTAACTACTTATAAATATCTGTAAGTCAACAGACTACAGAGTCTAGCTGCGACCTGTTCCAGCTAAACAGTCAAACTCTCTGCCTTTGGGCAGAGAGGAACCCAGACAAAGCTTCACCAAAGGGCAGAGTGTCGTTCAAGGAGGTAGACTGCCCCTGAACCTGTTTATGCAGGTTCAAAAAGGGAATATTTTTGGCCGAGCCTATGGGCTCGGAGAACCCACGTTAAACCGGCCTTGTGCCACATGCAACCCTCGTGAGGTGGGGGTAGCTAAATATACTAGCTGGGATCTGTTCCAGCTAGATGGTCGAACTCTATGCCTTCAGGCGGATGAGGCACTGCTGGTGGGCAGAGTCTCGTTCAGGGAGGTTGACCAACCCAATCCTGTTTATGCGGGTTCTACAGGGATTTTTTGGCTGAGCCTACGGGCTTGGATAACCCATGTTAAACTTGGCCTTGGGTTAGTAAAATAAGTAAGGAAAGTAAGTAAAGGGATGTGAGCTTGTTGTGTGGGAACCTACCACCCCTCTAAAAGATGAACTCGTCCACAAACAAGGACGTTAAAATAGTGGCATGTCAAAAGACAGGAGTAGTAGAAGTTCTTTTGCTGAGTTAGTTAGAGACTACTCAGGCGATTTTCTGTACCAACTTACCAACCGAATAAACCCCCTTTTTATTGTTACATGTTATTTGGCGTTTGTCTTATTAACCCCAAATTAACATCATAACAGAGCTCCACAGGTAGGAAGTGTGAGAAAAGAAAATTAAGTGAATAGTTTTAAATAAGAATAATATTGATTAGTTTGAGTGATTGATTGATTGGTTTTCTATGACTTATCAATCATTTGCAGGTTATTTAAAGCCAAAACATATTTTTAGATTGTAAGAATATTTTTTTTGAGATAATAATGGTTTAGTGATATAAGTATTACTAATTAACCCATAGCTAGAGGGGGAAGTAGTAGAGGCATGCCTAATCAGAATTTGATAAATAAACAAGAAATTATCATGTGTATATAAAGTTGGGGATCAATCCTATATAACAATCAATACATAATCCCTCATTTTTTAATTCCATGCATTTACATTCCTGAGTGTGTAAACATATGTAAAAGACATGCCTGTGTAGCTAATCAGTATCTGATTGATTTATTTGATTTTTACGGCACATCAACCCTTTGCCATCAAATATTTTTAGATGGTAAGAATCTGGGGAGACAGGAAATAATAATGATACAAGTTTTGTCAATTAACCTATAGCTTAGGGAGAAGAGGTGGATTCATATTTTTCTCAAGACTACCATATTCTGTCTCTCCCATACACAAGGCCTAGATAGGTAGATATGTAGGATGGGTGGTTATTCATGGAGTAGGTCTCCACTTGCTGAAATGGTCTAACAGAAAGTATAATGTTAATGAATATGGTTAGGCACAGTGGAGTAACAGATAGCATGTCAGATTGAGGAATCGGAGAGCCGAGTTCAAATTCCACTCGAATCCATTACATTCACTTACATGCTAATATCCTTGGGAAAGGTATGAATCCTCTTCTTCTCTCCCTAGCTATGGTTAAATAGCAGGACAGACTGGGTTCTATAGCCTTAGATGGCAACTGGTCTACCACAGAAAGAAATAGCATCCTACAGCAGGAAGAAAAAAATCTGCCTCGTCAGTCATGTATCGAAAGATACATGATCGCCTAAGCATGTATCACACATGGTGCATAACTGACTCGCTGTTATTATTTAGTGTTTACTTTTCATTTTGGCTTTTATCAGACTAAGAAAAAAATTAACGATAAAAAGAAAAATCAAAAGCCTGGAATTAATTTATTTAGTTTAGCTGTACAAAGGCGAAGTAATGGATCGTGGTATAAAGTCGAGTTCAAATTCCAGTTGAATCCATTGCATTCACTTACATGCTAATACCCTTAGGAAAGGTATGAATCCTCTTCTTCTCCCCCTACTTATGTTCAAATAGCAGGACAGACCAAATTCTATAGCCTTGGATGGCAACTGGTCTACCACAGAAAGAAATGGTGACCTACTGTGGGAAAAATAATCTGCCTCGTCAGTCATGTATCAAAAGATACATGATCGCCTAAGCATGTATCATGCATGGCACATAACTGACTGACTAATGCAGGAGTTGCCAGGTCATTGCTGGATCCACACTTGAATAACTTTAGGATATTGATACTGTATTTTTCCTCTGAGTTGAATACCAAAGTCTTTTCTTTGAGTGAGTATAACCACAAATTTGTAGAGGTTTAATGAAAAGAATCCACATATATTCATTAAACATCCATCAGTCTTAGGAGACAGGATTTTGCTCTGGATGGCATTTCTACCACTTTCTGCATCTCCATGTCACTGAAGACCTGGGTAGATAGCTATAGAGGGCAGATATTCACCAATCTCCGTGTCACTGAAGACCTGGGTAGATAGCTATAGAGGGTAGATATTCCCCAATCTCCATGTCACTGAAGACCTGGGTAGATAGCTATAGAGGGTAGATATTCCCCAATCTCCGTGTCACTGAAGACCTGGGTAGATAGCTATAGAGGGCAGATATTCACCAATCTCCATGTCGATGAAATAGACCAATGGATAGGTTTCTGCACTCTTGCAGTTGTTAAGACATTACGGAATAAAACTATGAATTGCCTTTGCGATTCTGATGCTGGATTTTTCTGTTGGGTTGACTCCCAAAGTTTTTTCCATGCAAAGCAGCATTTCTGATGATTAATATTCCACTTTTAATGTTTGCTTAACCTAATAACATTAATAGTCGTTTTTAAAATACAAATTTGGGGTCTGCTGAAAGCCAATAATCTGCTCCTCGGATATTCTGTTAAATGAAAAATGTGAAAAGCCAAATAAATATCCATCATTTTTTCCTAAAATTTCCCTTGTCTTTGGTTTTATAAGGCAACAATAAGAAAACTGACAATAATTCAGCAAGAATTAACACCTGGTTGTCAAGGAGATGGCCATGTAGCAAAGGGAAAAGCTAATCCATTTTTGAACTTCTCTATAGATTCATGTATTGGTGGTGGAGTAGAGAAAACAGGTAGGAAATTGAAGGGAGAATGGGGAGAAGAGAAAGATATTAGAAGGCACAGGAGGAAAATGATATGTAGGGGAAAATAGGGAGGGTGACGAAATGTGGGTGAGGAAGGAAATAAAGAAGGAGGAGGAGTAGGAGGAGCAGAAGTGGTGGACAAGAGGTAAGAGAGAAAAGATGATGATTATAAAGAGGAGAATGTGAGAGAAAGAATTGCATGAGAAAATATGGAATGTGTAGAAGAACAGAAAGAAGAGGGGAAGTATATGAAAGAAGAGAGAGGAAGGTATGAAAGAATAGAAAAGGAAGAATAAGGGAGGGTATGAAAGAAGAGAGAGGGAGGGTATGAAAGTAGAGAGAGGAAGGTATGAAAGAATAGAAAAGGAAGAATAAGGGAGGGTATGAAAGAAGAGAGAGGGAGGGTATGAAAGTAGAGAGAGGAAGGTATGAAAGAATAGAAGAGGAAGAATAAGGGAGGGTATGAAAGAAGAGAGAGGAAGGTATGAAAGAATAGAAAAGTAAGAATAAGGGAGGGTATGAAAGAAGAGAGAGGAAGGTATGAAAGAATAGAGAAGGAAGAATAAGGAAGGGTATGAAAGAAGAGAGAAGGAGGGTATGAAAGAAGAGAGAGGAAGGTATGAAAAGAATAGAAAAGGAAGAATAAGGAGGGTATGAAAGAAGAGAGAAGGAATGAAAGAATAGAAAAAAAGAATAAGGGAGGGTATGAAAGAAGAGAAAAGGAAAAGAATAGAAAAGGAAGAATAAGGGAGGGTATGAAAGAAGAGAGAGGAAGGTATGAAAGAATAGAAAAGGAAGAATAAGGGTGGGTATGAAAGAAGAGAGAGGAAGGTATGAAAGAATAGAAAAGGAAGAATAAGGGAGGGTATGAAAGAAGAGAGAGGAAGGTATGAAAGAAAGAATAAGTGAGGGTATAAAAGAAGAGAGAGGGAGGGTATGAAAGAAGAGAGAGGATGGTATGAAAGAATAGAAAAGGAAGAATAAGGGTGGGTATGAAAGAAGAGAGAAGGAGGGTATGAAAAATGAAAGAAGGAGGATATGAAAGAATAGAGAAGGAAGAATTAGGGAGGGTATGAAAGAAGAGAGAAGATGGAAAGAAATAAGAGAGAGGGAGCATATGAAAGAATAGAAAGGGAGAATATGGAAGAAGAGAGAGAAGATATAAAAGAAGAGAGAGTGAGAAAAAAGAAAGAAGAGAGGAGGAGAAGAAGGAGAGAGAGATGATATAAAAGAAGAGATAGTGGGAAAAAGAAAGAAGAAGAGAGGAGGAGAAGAAGGAGAGAGAGAAGATATGGAAAAGAGTAGGACGAGGAAAAAGAAGAGAAAAGAATAGAGATGTAATGTATGAAAGGAGAGAGGTAGGATATGAAAAAATTGGAAGGAAAATTAGGAAAGATGAGAGAGGGAGGAATATGAAAGGAAAGAAGAGGAATAGAAAGGAGATGAAGAAAGGGAATAATGGAAAAGAGAAGAGAAGGAGAAATAAACAATAGAAAAGAAAGAGTAGGAGGTGGTGAAGAAGAACAAGAATGATGAGAAAGTAGGAGTTTGAGAACATGTGTAGTAGGAGGAGGTTGTAAAGAGTGATAGATTAAGCAAGAATAGTAGAAAGGGGGAAGATGGCAAAAGATGTGGCAACATGTCGGCAGTGATTTATTTGTGTCAAGGAGGAAAAGAAGAGATTAAGAAACGGAAGAAATCTGATGAAAGATATAAAATGAGAGGCAGCAGAAGATAAATGGTTTTTCATGGCAAGAAATGGGAAGAATTGAGGAAGTTGACATTCTTGGGAGTTTTATGACTTAAGATGCAGCGGTGCAAATGCTGTTAACAGTGATGCGGCTGCGATTATCTCGCTCACATTACCAAATGGCACTGCACAAGTTGCTATGCTTGTTACTTCTGTCATCCCTTCATGTAACATACTCTTCACCCTCTGCCCAATACTCTGCATTCTTTTTGTTCCTTGCTACTCTTTGGTAAACACTCAGCTTGCTGTACATTTATCTTCTCAAAATGAATCGGTCAATAGAAAATGGTGACAAATTAACCTGGGTTTTGTCTTTTGCTTCTTTTATGGATCGGGTTAAAGTACACGTGAAATGCCATATTGAATTCTTCGCTGAAAAAAAAAAAAAAGGAGAGAGATAGGGAGAGGTGTTCATAGGCAAGACTACAAATTTGTAGATGGAAAAATGAAAAAGATGGTTTTGAAATGGGGAAATAAAAAATCTGAAAAGAAAAAAACAAGAAGTACGAGGGAAGAAAAAGATTTGAAGAAAAGAAATGGTGAAAAAAAGCTTGGGGAAGAAAATGACAAAGAAAAGGTCAAAAAGAAAAAAAAATGCTAAAAAATACCTGATTGGACAGTGATTGATAACTGATATGTAAATACTTAGATCTAAATATGATATCTATATATCTACCTGTCAATTTATTTATCAACAGTTTATATACATATATATATATATATATATATATATATATATATATATATATATATATATATATATATATATATATATATATATATAATATATATACATATTTGCATTTGTTTTTTGTGTGAATGATTCATGAATTTGTAAATTGATTGCACGTTTATCGTAATATATATATATATATATAGGATTAATACAAATATAACATTTCTCAGCTGAATAATATTTTTCTGTGTATGTGTGTTTATCTTACTTATTATAAAACACAGGTTGTGTGTGTGTGTGTGTGTCTGTAACGTTTATATGTTGGATCGAATTTCCTACATTTTTTAGCCGATTTCAACAAAACTTCACAGGACTACATAAAATTACCTTGTGGTGGTTCTAACGGGACCGAAAATGGGAAAAATACAGTTGTTTTTAATAAAATCAATTTGAAAATACGATTAAGACACATCGTGAGAATGAAAGGGGAGAACTCACCCACGAAAATGTAAACAAAAGAGCATAGCATGATGAAAAAGACGCCGAACTTGACGAAAACAAAATTTTATCGTCTAATGTTCATATTATTATTAAAGAGGAAAAGATCAAAGTATTTTGGGGGTATTTTTTTACATTTTTAATCGTTCCTAGCACGTCTGAAATTTTCGTTAAAAATATTGTTTTTTTTTCAAAAAAAAAGGCAGATAATCATTTTCAATCATTTTTTCGATTTGATAAAAAAATTAAAATCTTACTTTGATATTCTTTTAAAAGTCAATTATCATTTTTCCAAAACTGATTTTAATAAAAACAGATATTATACTGTTTATTTAAAATATTTTGAACCAAGCTTAACTTAGCTTCTGCGCCGAAAAAATGTAATTTGAAAATAAAACAAAGCAGGTCAGAACCTTTCGCGTCGCTTGACGATTGACGAAAGGCACATTCATGACGTTTAGATAACTTACGGGAGGAGAATTCTTTTTACGGATGGAAGGAAGTGAAATTATTTAAGTGAACAAATTATTTACCTTGTTACTTTTAAGGAAAACTTTCAGCGCTCTAATTTTTTATTTTTTATTCTTCTTTTTTTTTTTTGTACTTAGCTTTCATTTTTACGTTTACGATGCTTTATGGAAAATATAAAGAAATTAAAAAATAAGACTGTTAATAGTGAGATTAAATTTCATAAGAAAAAGGTATCTAATTAATTTAGGTACCTTTTTTATGAAATTTTATCAGAAGTGTACATAAAATACTATAATTTTATGTACATTTATTACATTTTACTGTGTTATTTGTATTTCCATTCATTTCATTATTAATTTTGATATTTCATTTATGGAAAAATGTCATAACTGAGATTAATATAAAAATAAGATCATATAAATTAAAGTTTAGCAGTAGTTAAATTTCATAAGATGATACTGTTACTTGTAGGTACCCTTCTCAGTTGAAATTGAAAACTCAAATTAACTTCTCCATACGTGTTTCACAAAAGTAAAGGGCTTAACAGCGGAGAACAATGCTGAACTCAAATAATGCAACTAAATTGTATTCTGGTTGGTCTTCTGTACTTGATAATTACTGTCCGACTATAAACACAAAAATTACATTTCTTAATTACCATGG